GACACGTCTCCGGTCAATAACCAATAGCGGAACCTGGATGCTCATATTGGCTCCCACATATTCTACGAAGATCTTTATTGGTCAAACCGCATAACAACATACGTTTGTTCCCTTTGTCACCGGTATGTTACTTGCCCGAGATTCGATCGTCGGTATCTCAATACCTAGTTCAATCTCGTTACCGGCAAGTCTCTTTACTCGTTATGTAACACATCATCTCGCAACTAACTCATTAGTCACATTGCTTGCAAGGCTTATAGTGATGTGCATTACCGAGAGGGCCCAGAGATACCTCTCCGACAATCGGAGTGACAAATCCTAATCTCGAAATATGTCAACTCAACAAGTACCTTCGGAGACACCTATAGAGCACCTTTATAATCACCCAGTTACGTTGTGACGTTTGGTTGCACACAAAGTGTTCCTCCGGTAAACGGGAGTTACATAATCTCATAGTCATAGGGACATGTATAAGTCATGAAGAAAGCAATAGCAACATACTAAACGATCAAGTGCTAAGCTAACAGAATAGGTCAAGTCAATCACATCAGTCTCCAATGATATGATCCCGTTAATCAAATGACAACTCATGTCTATGGCTAGGAAACTCAACCATCTTTGATTAACGAGGTAGTCAGGTAGAGGCATACTAGTGACACTATGTTTGTCTATATATTCACACATGTATTATGTTTCCTGTTAATACAATTCTAGCATGAATAATAAACATTTATCATGAAATAAGGAAATAAATAATAATTTTATTATTGCCTCTAGGGCATATTTCCTTCAGGATGTACATACCTACGGAAATGATTGGGTTTCGATGCCTCGCCCGATCGCACACGAGCTCATTCGGTGTCCCAGGAGGGCCTATCGCCGACGGTTTCTGGGTCGTGTGGGAAGGACCCCCTATCGCCCACACTCACTTGGCAACGGTTCCAAAAGTCGTCGCAGAAAGGGTTAAAAACTGTTTGTATATCACGTCGTTGTACCAGTGTGTGTTCGATATTTTGATAGTATATATGTTGTTATTCTCTTAGTGGTGTCATGTGAACGTCGACTATATGACACTTCACCATATTTGGGCCTAAGGGAATGCATCGTGTAGTAGCAATTAGATGGTGCGTTGCGACAGTGACAGAAGCTTAAACCCTAGTTTATGCGTTATTTCGTAAGGGACCGATTGGATCCAAAAGTTTAATGCTATGGTTAAATTTTATTCTTAATATTTTTCCCGTAGTTGCGGTTGTTTGCGGAAGAGTTAATCATAAGTAGGAGGTTTGTTCAAGTAAGAACAACACCTAAGCACCGGTCCACCCACATATCAAATTATCAAAGTAGCAAACACAAATCAAACCAATATGATGAAAGTGGCTAGATGAAATTCCCGTGTACCCTCAAGAACACTTTGCTTATCATAAGAGACCGCTTTGGCCTGTCCTTTGACTCAAAAGGATTGGGCTACCTTGCTGCACTTTTGTTTCTACTACCATTACTTGCTCGTTACAAATTATCTTGCTATCAAACTACTCCGCTACTTACAATTTCAGCACTTGCAGACATTACCTTACTGAAAACTACTTGTCATTTCCTTCTACTCCTTGCTGGGTTCGACACTCTTACTTATCAAAAAGAGCTATAATTGATCCCCTATTCTTGTGGGTCATCAACCACCCAGAGTCTGGAAACATAAAAATGCCGTAAAAGCCCACCGCTGCTTGACAAATGAGATACAAGCTATGAGTGAAAACAAAAATGGCCAGCCATGTGCCATGTTACCTAGGGAGCTCCTGTTGAGCGCTTTCAGCGCCGCTTAGGGCTCCTGGCGCCCGCACAGGACGCTATTTGGCCAGCCCAGAAACCTCTTCAAAAACCTGACGCGAAAAGAAAAAATATTATTAGAATAAATATCGAAGATGTGGGATTTGAACCTGCTCGTCGGCCAAAGTCTCAGCTAGACAACCACTGGGCCAAGACAACTTAGTTCACTAGAATCCAAAAACACTGCTATTTAATACTTCGTTTAGTACAACATTAACATACACATATAAATCATTTGAAAAAAAGGAATCATATCATGGATTTGGGAAAAAGGTTCATGAATTTGACAAAAGTTCAACAATTTTGAAGAAAATTTCATTGATTTTGGAAAAAAGTTCATCAATTTTGGAAAAAATCCATCGATTTTGGAAAAAGTTCATCGATTTTAAAAAAGAGTTCATCGATTTTGAAAAAAGAGTTCATCGATTTGGAAAAAGTTCACAGATTAGGAAAAAAGTTTACAAATTTGAAAAAGTTCATCAGTTTTCAAAAACAGTTCATCAATTTTAACAAAAAAGTTCATAAAACTTGAATAAAAGTTCATAGATTTTGAAAATAAAGAAAAAATTGAAAAAGTTCATCGATTCTGAAGAAAAAATTCACAATTATGAAAAAAGGTCATCATTTAAAAAAGTTCGCGCATTGAAGAAAAGAAAAGAAAAAAGGAAATAGAAAAAGAAAACCAAAACAACAAACTGTGTGTTTTTTCAGTGTTGCATTAAAAGTATAAAAGATCGAGTTGCCCAGTTGGTGCTGCGATTGACACTCTTTTTTTGGTGGTTCTAAAACAGGAAAGAAAAGAGTAAACAGGCCGGCCCAGGTAACAGCCCCACCAAATAGGAAACGCCTGTTACCCACGTACAACGATTTCCTGAGGCAATTGCACGAATCACGGCGTAGGTTTTAACCCAACGGATGAACTTGTGAATGAGACCAGATTAGAACTCAGCTAGATGAGTTATAGCAATCCCGTGAAAAAATGTTATGATGAATCTAATGAACCTAATTTAGTAGTAGATGTTGGTCTATTTTTCATATATAAATTTGGTCAAACTTGAAAAAGTTTGACTTAGGACAATCATTTTCTTTGCGATGTAGCAGTGTGGGTGTTGGTGATCGTTGCGTGTTAGGTATGGTTGGGTTGATCGTGTGTTTATGGGGTTGCATGGTATGTGAGTAGCTCATATGTGTGGTTAATTTGTATCGCCTTTTGCTCGGTTTTCTGGGTAATTCTCTTCTTAATTGACGATGCAAATCTTTTGTCTCAGTTTAAAAAAAACTGTAGTATTTTAGAGTAGAGGGAGTAGCTGCCAACTACACAGTGAACTGACGTACAAATTCACTGAATCCTGGCAAAAGCAATGACGGCTTCAGCAAGTCTTTGATTTGATTTGATTTGATTCCGGACAGGACCGGAACCTCTTTCTCCACTACTGCTGGGCAAAAGCAATGACAGCCTCTATTATTTTGATGCATTTTGATTCTCGCTTTGCACTTGCCTTTCTCGGTTCTCTTCCTTTTCCTTTTCCTTTTTCTTTTTTGCGGGGCCGGTTCTCTTCCTTCGAATCCCGCCTGGCAGACCACACCATATGCACGTCTTGGTTTCATTTAGCTACTACTGTAGCACATATATACTGCTCCTCCGTCCCAATGTAAAAAACGCACTTATATTATGGGACGAAGGGAGTACTATCTATGATAGGATAATTCACTTTAGTGATCTAAATGTCATGAATAGGTTGTTGCGCGTGACGAAGAGTTTTCCTCTGGCTGGAACCCCGCTGCCAGGAAAGGTCAATCTTCCGGCGCCGTCCTCCGGCGGCTCCCCGGGGCTCCCGGGGGTCGTCGGATCCACGCGTGTGGATCGTTTTTAGGCCCTTCTAGGCTAGGTTTTTTACACCACACTAGTGCAAAAACGCACTTATATTATGGGACGAAGGGAGCACTACCTACAATTGGATAATCCACTTTAGTGATCCAAATGTCATGGACAGGTTGTTGCGCGTGATGAAGAGTTTTTCTCTCGTGCCTGGTGGCTGGAACCCCGCTGCCAGGAAAGGCCAATCTTCCGGCGCCGTTCTTCGGTGGCTCCCCAGGGGTCGTTAGATCCACACGTGTGGATCGTTTTTAGGCCCTCGTAGTCTAGGTTTTTTTAGATTGTTCATCGTCTTGCCTTCGGCAGCGGCGATAGTGGCGCTGAATAAAAATTCTTCAGATCCTTCCCCGATGAGGCGATCGGTCCTATGATTGGATAGGGATTTGAAAACCAATTTGTTCAAGGAAGGATGGCGTGACATGTGTCCTCGGGCTCCGCCGTTGCGATGGTGTTTGCTCTAGCAACGGTGCGAAGCTTGGGAGGTAGTCCAGGAGTGGATGCAGATTGTGGTCTGCTTCGACGACATCTGAAAGATGATGGATCGTGTGCTAGGTATGGCAGGTATGATTTCCTCCTTCCATGTTTTAGTTGTGCGGAGGTGCCAGATCTAGAGTTTGATGACGTGTCCGGGTCAGATTCGTTCAAACGGTAATGTTTTAGCCTTTGGTGAGCCACCTTAGAGGTCCGTAAAGCTGCATATCAGCGATGAAGACGCGTCGAGTTCGGGTGAGGAGGTGATCCGTCATATTTTCCTTTGATGGCTATTGTGGTGGCGCCAAAAGTAGATGACGGGCTTTGGTGAGTTTAGAGGTTTATTCAGGCTTGATTGTATTTTTCCTTCTTGGCTAGTTTTTTTTCAAAGACTAACGTTCTGCTGTGTTTTTGGTTTTGTGATATCGATATGTACGTGACTTATACTGTGATCCTTATGAATAAATGAGACACATATTATCATGTAAAAAATAAATCTAAACGGTCATATATTTTATTTTATGTAATTATATATATTTTTGCCTACACACAAACGTGTGTGTTAGTCTTTTTAGGCACCACACAGAACGTGTGGACAGATTTCTTAACGTCCACACGTATGACAGTTAGCGGCATCCATATTTTTATCCGGCCATCCTTCGCTTTCCGAAACCGTATCCAGCGTTTGGTAAGCCCACCACGTGTTCCGTAGCTGATTCGAAAACCGGAAGCGAGACGCTCCAACAAGACGAATCACGTATTCGATAGCGTATTGGATAGGAAAAAAAAGGGATGCGGAGCTCCCCTATAGCAGAACCGAATACATTACATGACCACGAACCGAACGCGTACCTCTTCTTGGACGGGAGCAATGAGCAGCGGCCGCGGCATGGGCTCCGGCTCCGGCTCCGGCGCCTCCCGCTCTTTCCACCCCCAGAACCTGTCCAAGCTCATGCTGCCGCCCCTCGGCAGTAGCCTCACCCAGTTCACTTCCGGCGACAAATGGGTCGTCTCGCCCCTCGAGTCCAGATACAGGTGAGTGACGAGACCACCATCGGTACCTGCACGGACTGCAACCGCTTACAGTAACGCGCATGGTTTAGGTGGTGGGAGACTTTCATGGTGATCCTGACGGCGTACTCGGCGTGGGTGTACCCGTTCGAGGTGGCCTTCATGGACGGCTCGCCCAAGCGGGGCCTGGAGGTGGCCGACATGGTCGTCGACATCTTCTTCACGGTCGACATCGTCCTCACCTTCTTCGTCGCCTACATCGACTCCAGGACGCAGCTCCTCGTCCGCGACAGGAGGAGGATAGCCTTCAGGTTCGCTAATTAGTGTTTGATCCATGGATTTCTATGTATTCCTGTAACCTTGTTAATGCATATATAGGTATCTGTCGACGTTTTTCATCATGGACGTGGCGTCGACAATTCCGTTCCAAGGCCTGTCCTACCTCGTCCACGGCAAGGCAAGGGAAGGCTTGTTGTACAGCCTGCTCGTCCTGCTCCGGCTCTGGCGTCTCAGGAAGTTCCAACTGTTCTTCCCAAGGTAATTAATTAATTAATTAAGCAACAGCCATGCATATATCTCAGAGGCAGAGCTCGAACTCCATCGACAATGGCTGACCTAATTCGATCGTCAGGCTAGAGAAGGACATCAGGTTCAGCTACTTCTGGATACGCTGCGCACGGCTCATCGCGGTAATTAATTAGAGTAGCTCCATCGGTCGGATAGCATTTGCAGCTGAACTTTGTTGAAAGAGATCTTTATGGTGCATGCATTCAGGTTACTCTGTTCCTGGTGCACGGCGCCGGGTGCCTCTACTACCTGCTGGCGGACCGGTACCCGGACAGGGACAAGACGTGGATCGGCGCGGCGACCCCCAACTTCCGGCAGGAGAGCCTGTGGATCCGCTACATCACCACCATGAGCACCGTCGGCCAGGGTGACCTACACGCCCAGAACAAGCTCGAGATGATGTTCAACATCTTCTACATGCTCTTCAACCTCGGCCTCGCCGCCTACCTCAGCGGCAACATGACCAACCTGGCCCTCCAGGGCACACGCCGCACCATGGAGTTCGTAAGTGTCAACGTCTGTCGACTTCCACAACAGAAGCACTCTAGAATCTCGATCGCCATTAACTAATAAGTTTCCGCTGGTTGCCAGAGGAACAGCATTTGCGCCGCGTCCGACTTCGTGTGCCGGAACCGCCTGCCGCCGCGGCTGCAGCAGCAGATCCTGGCCTACATGTGCCTCAAGTTCAGGGCGGAGAGCCTGAACCAGCAGCAGCTCATGGACCAGCTGCCCAAGTCAATCTGCCAGAGCATCTGCGAGCACCTCTTCCTCCCCGTCGTCAAGGAGGTGTACCTCTTCAAGGGGATCTCCAGAGATGCGCAGCTGCTCCTGGTCACCCAGACCAAGCCGGAGTACATACCGCCCAAGGAGGACGTGATCGTGCAGAACGAGGCGGCGGACGACGTGTACATCATCGTGTCCGGCGAGGTGGAGATCATATACTTCAACGGCGAGCGGGAGGAGGTGGTGGGAAAGCTGGGGACCATGGACATCTTGGGCGAGGTGAGCGCGCTGAGCGACCGCCCGCAGACCTTCACGTTCCGGACCAGGACGCTGAGCCAGCTGCTGAGGCTGAAGCAGGCCACGCTCAGGGAGGTCATGGAGAGCAAGCCCGACGACAGAGCCCTCATCTTCAGGAACTTGCTCAAGGTTCGTTGATGCATTCCATTTCTTTGTGTCTGTCAGATCGATGTGTCCAGGTTGACAGTCAGCAATGTGATGTGTGGGTTGGTGTTGCAGCATCAGATCGAGGTGCATGACATGAAGGACCTGCTGGGCGAGAGCGAGAGCACCGGAGCGGGCGGCAGCGGCAACATCGTCCCGTGCAATCTGCTGACGGTCGCCGCCACGGGGAACGCTGGCTTCCTTGAGGACCTCCTCAAGGTCGGGATGGACCCTGACGTCGGTGACTCCAAGGGAAGAACCGCGCTGGTAAGTAAGAAAGGAGCGCATTTCTCAGCTCTAACAGTTTGCTTTGCGCGTGTGCTCATCTCTGTGCCCTCTTCTTGGCAGCACATCGCCGCGTCAAAGGGGTACGAGGACTGCGTGCAGGCTCTACTCAGCCACGGCTGCAACGTCAACATCAAAGGTACGTAGTAACACACCTGCATTTTCAGTGCGATCAAGTTTGCTAACTATTCGCGACCGGTGTATGTAAACCGCAGACGCGCAGGGCAACACGGCGCTGTGGCAGGCTGTCGCGGCGCGGCACCACAAGGTGTTCAGCAGCCTGTACCACGTCGCGCGGGACTCGAACCGGCGCGCCGGCGGCGACCTCCTGTGCCACGCCACGCGGCGCGGGGACCTCGACACTCTCCGCGAGCTGCTCAAGCACGGCCTGGACGTCGACTCCGAGGACAATGACGGCTCCACCGCGCTGCGCGTCGCGCTGTCCGAGGGCCAGGCCGACCTGGCCAGGTTCCTTGTCATGAACGGGGCCAGCCTCGACGACGACGGCTACACCCAGCGCCAGACGACGGTGCCGGTGGCCAAGCTGCGCGAGCTCGTGGAGAGGCGGGAGGTCGGCCACCCGATAACGGTATACGACTCGCCGAGGGCGGACACCGTCACGGTGGTCGGCTCGTCGTCCGAGGAGCTTCGTCGGGGAAGGTTCCCCGGCACCACGAGCAAGAAACCGGACAGAGCGCACTGGCCCCGGGTGAGCATCTACAAGGGCCATCCGTTGGTCAGAAACCACAGCTCCGAAGCCGGCAAGCTCATAAATCTGCCCGCCACGACCACGATGGAGGAGCTCAAAACCATCATTGGTACGCACGTAGTATTCTGTAGACACGCCATGAACTGGATCTTCACTTGTTGCAATGGCAAACGAACTTTTCTTTCAGGGGAGAAACTGAAAGTCGGCGCGGAGAAGGCGCTGGTCATGAACGACGAAGGACTGGAGATCGACTCGGTGGACGTGATCCGCGACAAAGACAAGCTGTTCATTGTCACCGAAGAGCACATGAGAATGTTGGCGTCAATATAATGGATTACGCAGCTGCCTTATCGCACACATCGTCTCTAGGTTGAGGTGTTTCAGTAGCACATGTCGTATAATTCCTGTGCTTGCTGGGATAGTACCTTTTTTCTCTAGCTCTGAATAATCCAGTCATCTCCGTGGCAACAATTCAAGCAACATGACAAGTGCCACACGAGTGATTTATGATGTTGCCCTTTATATATGGACCTGCAGACCAATTTTAAGATGAGAGTGATTAATTTCAAACGCTGGTACTCTGATTTTGAGATGTATTTTTTAATTCATGATTAGTTGTTTCTTTCGCTGTCAGATTTCTCTAATATTTTGTGCATGTGACGTTGTACCTTCTTTCCTTCTCTGTGGAAGGCTTTGACCAATATGGCAGTGATGACCTCAATGATGATTAAGGGCCTGTGGATTTTTATGTGGAAAAGGATACTGAAGTTGGAACTGGGTATGGGTATAAGGACTTGCTTGATGATGAGGAGGCAAGATGAACTGGACTTAGCTAATAAGAAAAATACTCGTGCTACTGCTGGCAAACAACTTGGATTAGCTTTTGTTCCTGCTGTTACTTTTCACCCTTCACGATTCTCCCTTTTTCTTTTTTCTCTTTGGAGAATCCCCTTCATGATTCTCTGAAGCTTGTGTTTCTCTTGACTTTTGTGTTGTTTCCTTGAGCTCTACTACTCCTGCTAACATATTTGTTCCTGAAATCAGCACCAATTGTTTGTATGACCTGTTAAATGATGAGATTGATGATGAGGTCCCTGTTGTTGTGGTACTCAAGTCAAATAATGTTTTTGCTGCTGGAATTGACTCTTACAGTTCCTCTGCTTCTAAATTTCTGATAGGCAAAACCTTTGTGCTGAATTGACTCTCACAGTTCCTCTGCTCTGAAATTTCTGATAAGGGAAACCTTTGTGCTGTGAGCTCTGAGATAGGAGGATGATGGATTTCATAATTCTATCAATAACTGTACTACTCCCCTATCTTATTCAGTATTCATACTGCTCTGAAATTTTAGAAGATTTGGAAGACTGGTTCTGAAACAGCTAAAGAGGTGGAGCATTCTGAGCATAAGATGGATGTTTTTGAGGGGCATGTGCTTGATGCCATGAGGCTGATGTCTACTAGAAAACCTTCCATGCCTTCTCCTGAAAGCTCCCACATTGCTAGTCCTGTGAAGAAGAAGAATGATGGTAGACAAAAAAGAGCCCTGTGACTGTTCAAAGGCCAAATACCAGGAATCATAGCAGTGAAAACTTTATGGCTAAAGCTACTTCTTACAAGATGAAGTCCCACCCACCTTCAAAGGTAAATCTTTTGCTGAAAACCCCAATTCTACCTTCTTGCATAAACAAGCTCATACTATTAGCATTGGTATTTGGTAGAAATAGTGCTGATAGTGATATGGTTGTGGCTAAAAACAAACAAGGCCTTAATTTTGCTAATCAAAATCAGGAAATATCTTTACCTAATAACCGTGATATTGATAATTCTTTTGATATTTGAGTTATACACACACACACACACACACACACACACACACACACACGCACACACACGCACATAGACGGTCTATTCTGCTAATATTAGCAGAATAACTATTCTGCACACCACTTCGGCACTGCACGTTGAACAGAAGCGCACTGCATTATTTTGACGACGAGCACTGCAATAGAGACTAGTGAACTTCTCGTCGGAAAAAACTGCACGCGTTATTTTTTCGGTACTGTTTTCGCTCTAATTTTTTAACCGTTTATCGGAATGAGGCGTGTAATATACCGTTGAAAAGCTATGGATTAGGCGCAACTTCGCTATGTTGAACACTTTTCGAGATTCCACACGGTTTAAGAGCAGTTTTGAAAATGGTGCGACAGATGACGAGTGGCAGCGAGCGTTTTTTCGCGTTTTTTTTCTAAACCGCTTGTTGGAATGAAGCAAATGATACGCCGTGGGATAGATATCATCGAGGCGCATCTTTTCCATATATAAATCTTTCTCTAATTCGTTACGGTTTAAGAGCAGTTTCAAATTTACTAAATCGCGGAATTCTGTTTTTCAAATTTTTTGCAATTTTCGGTACTGTTTTCGCTCTAGTTTTTGAACCGTTTGTCAAAACAAGGCATGTAATACGTCGTTGGAAAGCTACGAACGAGGCACAACTTTCATATGTTGAAATATTTATGAGATTCCTTACGGTTTTAAGTAAATTTTGAAAATCGTGCGGCGGACGACGAGTGGCAGCGGCCGTTTTTCGCGAAACTTTTGCAAACCGCTGGTCGGAATGATTCAAACGATACGCCGTTGGAAAGGTATCGACGATACTCAACTCTTTCATATAGAACACTCTCTCTAATTCCTTACGGTTTAAGAGCAGTTTTAAAATTACCGAAATGCGGGCACTGTTTTTTGCGACAGCCAAATCGGCGAGTGAACTTCATCTGACAGAAAACCGCACTGCATCAGACAGAAAACCACACTGCAATGTCTGACAAAGTATTGCATGAGTTTTTCTATTACTGTTTTTGTGATATGAGGCGAGTACAGTGCACATCGAAGAAAAAGTGAACCTCGACATAAGTTTAAGTGAGCCGCATTATTTTTTTTCATTTCTTTTTAACTTTTTTTTGCACTTCACATTGAGCGAAAGTGCACGATAACACTACCAAAAGTGAACCACCTTACTGTTTTTGCTTCCCTCACATTTTTGCGCTTCACATAGAGCACAAGCGAACCTCAACACACTTCAAAGTGAACCTCATTACTCTGTTTTTGCTTCCATAAAAAATTTGCACTTCACATAGAGCACAAGCTAACATCAACAACCTCATTACTCTGTTTTTGCTTCCCTAAAATTTTTGCACTTCACATAGAGCACAAGTGAACGTCAACACACTTCAAAGTGAACCTCATTACTCTGTTTTTGCTCCCATAAAAAATTTGCACTTCACATAGAGCACAAGCAAACATCAACAACCTCATTACTCTGTTTTTACTTCTCTAAAATTTTTGCACTTCACATAGAGCACAAGCGAACGTCAACACGCTTCAAAGTGAACCTCATTACTCTGTTTTTGCTTTTTCTAAAAAAATTTGCACCTCACACAAGAGCACAAATGAAAGTGGACCACAAAGATGAGGGAAGTGAGCCGCGACATATACCCAAGTGAACCATCGAGAACCGCAAACATTTTTTATATTGTTTTTGCACAACGTAGCTGCAAATATTTGTTACAGTGGACCTCGGTTTTTTAATTAATTAACTCCTATGAAGTAAAGAGCAAACTGCATGCATAACCTGGCCGAGCTGCACATAAAAAATGCATTCTCAAAATTTCGAGCAGGCGATCTGCATGCTTGCTCTGGTCGAATCCGCATGCCCACAAACTGCAGTGCTGGACTGAAAGCATCCACGAACAGAACCGCTGGTCTATAGAACGGACTGCAACTTTTTTTGTTCTTTTCTCTTGAAGAAAATACTACACCGAGTCTTCCCGGAACGAACTGCACGGGAGGGGTGCGGTGGCCTCGAATCAAAGCCTGGGATACCTGCCCTCTGCCTAAGTGTAGCCGGCGGCAGTGGCCATCCCGCAAAATCATTGTACAGCGAGAAGCAAAATTCACTGGATTGTAGAAAAAATGACCAAAATTCACAATTTTTGCACCAAAACCATTGAATCCTGCGGGAGTAGACAAAAAATGCACGAAATCTCACTGTCCGCCATGGACATGGACTCCCTACCTCCTCCTATCTCTCCTTAGCCACCAGCCCGTAACCCCTGTATACGACACTAGAGGAGGGGGCGACGTGGTGCGCCGGGCGATTGCCGAGATCCAAAAGTGTCGGTGCTCCAGGGCGGCAGGAGAAGGCAGGGAGGAGAAGATGGTGGTCCTGGCAGCCAGAGGCGGGGTCGCAAGGCCACGACCCATCTTGAATCCAGCGGCAGCGGCCCTTACCCGTGCGGCGGCGCTGGTTTTTTAGGAGGTGGCCACAGCGGACTTCTTCCAAGAGCACCGATCTGCACCACTTGGACGCGGGCGTGGCCGCGTACTGCTTGCTTGCACCGCCAGAACCGGATGCCACGAGCTAGCGAGCTGCACTTTACGCCGACGCCGGACAGCATCATAGCAGGCATGGCCGCGTACTGCTTGCCCCGCACCACCGATACCGCATACTATGAACAAGCGAGCTGCACGGCTGCGTCGCTCGGATCTGCCGGCAAGGGAAGGAGAGGGGGAGGGGGTCAGTGCGCCAAGCCAATCCTGCACTACCCCGCCGGCGACTGCGACTTGCACGCGGCGCTCCTCGCGGCAGCCTCCATGTTGCTGCTCGGAGGCGAGGACGAAGGAAGCT